TGATTAATGTCTATGCTTGAATATATCGTGTAGTTACTCATAGAATAGTTTATTTTTAACTTTAAAGTGGATATACCCCTCTAAAATCAAATCAAATATTAGGAATTTTTCCTCTGGTCCCTCTTAATAGGATTCGACGCATAATGCCAAGGAAATATATACAACCACGATTAAGCTATTCTAATATTTTACTTGTTATATTTCCTATACTTTTAAATCAACGTCATAATAATTCTAAATAATGTATATTATATGAAAACATATTTATAATGATTTAACATTATACATATATTAACGAAGCACAGTTACGTTTTAGTAGCAGTAGAGCTTCTTGTGAAAGAGTTCGTCCAGGGAAGTACTGCCACCTTACCTATTTCTGCCCCCAAGCAGTAATGTCAGCATTACTGTTTTCCGGTTTTGAAGGGTAAGAGTGTTGGTGAAATTACAGGCACATGGGACTTGGCAATTTATGTCTCAGGGTGACGGGCGCTGTAACAGTGCCCACCAGATATTTGCGATTTAAAGCTCTGAGTGGCACTGCAACTGACAGGCGTGTAGCTTGCTATCAGGTGCACCACTTGTTCGTCCCGTCACTTGATATTATAAAAACAATACTCATATTATGTTATATGTTCAATACACAATCCAAATTTTTTTTAATAATCATCATATTTAAGCGACAAATATAAATTGCATATTAATGTGGATCGGCAAATAATTTTAAAAGTTTGCTTACCTTTACTTGTGTTCTACCGTACTTAATAGTATATAGATGAGTATTTCTTAACAACAGCTTTGTAAACTGTCGGATTTTTATTTATAGACTGAGTGTATTTTGAGTGCAGAACGGACTTGTGTACCGAAGGGAGGACATTTATGTAGAAGTAACAATCATAATCTGAATTTTCTTACGCTGCTAATGCTAAGATTAAAATTTTAACTTGGTACAGTATCAATTACACTGTAAATGATAAGATTTGTCTCGAACAATACTAAACACAAAACTACCTACGTCAAAAGGGCCTGGAATTACATCTATTTGCCAAGTTTTATTGAAATCGGTTACCTGAAAGTGCGCGAAACCGGATTCATTCCCTAGTTTGCCACCACTTCCAAGGTGGAATATTTTCTTCAAATTTAAATGGGACCCTTTCCTTCCTTACTTTTCCAACAAAAAAGAATCATCAAAATCGGTTCACATACGCCGAGGTATCGCGTAACATTCATAGAAAAAATAACATACAGTCGAATTGAGAATTTTTGAACTCCTTTTTTAAAGTCGGTGAAAAATTATATCGGAAGGATGAACGGATAAATCGATTTTGTTTAGGTAATAGTAGGTGTATGACCTTTAAAATTGGAAACACTCTTAGGTAACGAGATGGTCTAGAACACCATTACCATTCGATCAAAGCTGTATAAGTTCCCTTAACCTCTCTTCGATTAAATGTATTCTTCCACTTTAATTTAAAATTGTAATATCTAATAATATGAGTGCCCGTAGAAAATACTATACTATTACGTTAGTCACGGCATTGTAGGGATCGTTAGTTTAGCTTGTTGTATTAGAATTCTGCGCTTAAGCTATGACCAAGTACTTGGTACTTGAGTCCCGTTAGAATAACCAGTGGCCTAGCCGCAGGTCAAGCTTTACGACTAGAGTAAGACCATTCTTGATATGGGTAAAACATGTAGCAGAGTTTCTTGAAACAACTTCTT